CTTAAGTGGTTTTTTGAGTTTTTTTTTTTTTTTTTGGTTCAGCATTTTTGTCACTTAATTTATAAATCAGTAATTCTTAACCATTTCCAAGCAGTGCTAGAGACTGAGACTATGCCTCACATTCTTTTTTTGTCTTTTCATTTTAATTCTAGCTTAAATCCCACAAGGCATCATTATCATTGTTTGACACAATGATTATTTTATCTCTGTTGATTTTCATCTTTTTGTGCATTTTGGGGTTAATCCAGGATCATTTCCCTTCTAGCTAAAGAACCTGTTTAGTATTTACTTCAGTGTGGATACACTAGAGATAAATTCACTATGTATCAATCACTATGTATCATCCCACATAAGTTCTAAATTTGAAGTTTTTATTTTTCCCAGTACTTTGCAGATAATATTCTGTTATAGTTTTCTGAATCCCATTGTTGCTTTTGAGACACAGCCATGAGTCTTAATGTTGTGTCTTTAAAGGCAATTTGAATTTTTTCTTCTAACTGCTTGTCTTTTCTCTTTGTCTCTGGTTTTCCCCACTTTTACTGTAATGCAAATAAGTGTGTTTTCTGTAAAATCTATACTCAGTAGAGTTGTAGAGCTTCTTGACTCTGGCTAAAAGCCTTTTGATAAAAAATTAAAAAAATTTAAAAGTTTTAAAAATTCTTGCCCATTCTTTCCTTAAAAACTGTTTCTACTTCTGTTTCCTGTTAGTCTATAATTGCCTATAGGGTAGAGCTTTGACATTCCATCTCCTGTATTACTACTTTTTGTAGCTTCTCGTGTGTTTATTCTCCATGTTTCAGTTTGAATATTTTTTTGTTCACCTCTGTCCAATCTGAAATTGAACCCATGTTAAGTTCTCATTTTAAGTAATTGTATTTAATTACTAATTAATTAGTAGTTTTGGTTTCAGAATTTTTATCCAATTCTTTTTAGAGATTCCTTGCATGTGTTTTCCATTTTTCTCAAAGATATTGATCGCAATTATGTGAAACTGCTTTTTTATTTCTTTTGATTAGGTTCTTTGTTTACCTTATACTGAGTTGTCTAAGTATGAAAATAATTTCTCCCCATTCAGTGGGATGTCTTTACATTTTAATGATAGTAGGAGTGGCCTTAGCTTGGTGGTTACTTCCACGAGTACATAATTTTATTATTATTTTTAAAAGATTGATTTATTTATTTATACAAGCACTGGGTACAGTCAGAAGCGCGGGAGGGTGAGAGAATTCACCAGAGCCAGAGCAGGGAACAGAACAGGCAGACTGACGAAGTACACTGCTGAGGGGAACAGCGGGTGCAGCAGGAGAGGTCTGTCGCGCCATGTGGGAACCTCCCAGAGACTGGGGATATAACCAGTGCTGCAGAGGCTGCGGGCAGCTTCGCAGCCCAGTGCTCAACTTCTGCGCCACCAGGGGAGGCCCACGAGTACATCATTTTAAGGATAGTTTTTTGGTTGTGTGGGTTTAGTCTGAGGCAGTCCCACTTATTTTCTTTGCTTTTGTTCCCCTTAACACAAGAGTTGAGTCCTAAGCCATCCTTGAAGTCAATGCTGTGGATTTTTTCTTACGTTGTCTTTTATGTAGTCTATGGTTTGAGATCTTGCATTCTATTCATTTATCCATTTTGAGTTAATTTTTGATTATGGTGTGAGTGAGGAGTCTAGTTTCCTTTACTTAATGTGACTGTATGGTTTTCCCAATACCATTTGTTGCAGGGACTTTCCTTTCTCCAGTGTGTACCACTGACTGCTTTGTTACAGATTGATGGCCCAAATAAGTGTGGGATTACCTCAGGGCTCTTAATTCTACTCCATTGGGCTGTGAATCACACATAGGATGTGCTGAAACTTTTACCCTGCACTCATTTGCACAGCTCTCAAAAGTAATGGTCTCAAAAGGAATTGAGAATAAATATGTCCTCACTTTATATTACTCTCTAGTACATCTTTTTTTAAAGAGTAACTATTTTGATGCAATAACTTAAATGTGAAAGTAGCACCATTATTGATGATAACCAAGACACTTTCAAGTGTCCATGTATAGATAAAGAATAAAAACATGTCATGTATTTACATGTGTCAGTAGATTACTAAACAACAAAAAGGAACACTTGCTGATAAGGTCTACATCATGAAGGGACCTCAACAACTAAGTTCTTTCACACTAATTGAAAGAAGTCAGGTGGAAAATGTTGTATGTTTAATAAATCTGTTTATCTTAAATGACCACAAAAAGCAAATCTAGAGGCAGAAATTAGACTATTGATAGCTGGATCTGGGGTAGACATAAGGGTAGATGGTAAAAGGATTTTTTGGGAACAAGAAGAATGTTCTAAAGATAGATTGAAGTTGCAGTTGTGCAAATGACTAAACATTATTGAATACTTCAAATGGTTTGCGAATTATACCTCAGTAAGTCTCCCAAAAAAAAGGCAATATGTGAACATGCCTTAGTAACTGAAAATGAGTACACTGAATGTCACTTCAGGTAGAAACATAACAGCCAGCGTATAAATCATGTCCTCTCTTTTCCTGACACTGGTGTGGCAGTAATCATGTGGGGTAGCACCCTCAGCCCTGCCTCGGTGTGACAGTGATAAGCAGAGGTCCCTCTCCCCACTCCCCCATGGTGAACATGGACTATGAGCATGAGACAAACTGATATGGGATAAGCCGCTGGGGGTAAAATATTTTTTAGACACACGTACCCAAATGAGAGATGCTAACATGACATCCTTTCACTTTGTGTACCCACATTTTTTGTACCAAATAAATAGCCTATTGGAGGAACATGGGTTGTCCAGTTATCTGACCAGTTGATTAAAACTACGAGGATTCTAGTAGAAAAAACAAAAAGCCTATTTTGCCTCCTCTCTGCCACAAAACTGTGAGGTGAAACAGTAGTAAGTTTTACCTGCTTCCTGATTTTTCCAGCCTCAGTCTTGTAACAATGAGCGACAAAGCCATGCCATACTTTGAGCTCCTAAAAATAATTTCAAAATCTGACAACTGGAAGGTATCTGTGTCTTACTCTTCAGTCGAATGATTTATGCTGCTTATTTAATGACTGATGCTTTGACATCATCATCACACAGCTGCAATTGCAAATACAACCACATCATTATATTTATGTCGGAGGCAAGCATTTTTGTTTTTATACTCTGTATTTAATTCATTCAACATCTTTTTTACTTCATTGCCCCTCTCTCCCCTGGCAAATATCAACTCATGCACCGAGCTTAGAGAGCTGTCAGAATCTGTGAGATCTGCTGAGGGTCCTAAATTTGGCAGAAAAAGCCTCCTCAACCCCTCCCCAAATAAATAAGCCAAATGCTGGCTTGCTTTCCCCCACAACTCCAAATTTGCAAAAGTCCTTAAACTCCTTCCTTCTCCCTTCAACTCTCAAGGGGAATTGCACTGATAAGGTTTCTGTTCATCAAAAGAGTAGAACGGCAGTGGCTCTGCTATTCCCAGGACACCTCCTTCTGGAAAAGGGCGGCTTTTCCCCTGAGAAGCTATTATAAAGAACAGGAGTTCTCCAGCTCCCATCACGAATGTATCACTCCACTTCAGTTATTGTTTCTATGGATTCCTTTTCTTCCTGTCTCTTTCCCCCACCCTCAAGCAATTTTTAAAATCCAATACCTAGGGAGTTTCAAATTGTATCTGACCTATTGATTCCACGAGATGGCCATGTCCAATGGGCATGCAATACAATATACAACCTGGAGCCCAGAGAAAGGCAACTCACTGATGAAATGAGGGCCGGAGAACAGTAAACCACATTTTGGAGTTTCTAGGAAAATGAAAGAAATAGTAAATATTTTGATTGAGAGTTGGAAATGAGAGGGTGTATGGAAAGAATCTACGTAAAGTGTAAAACTTGAAGTAGGTCCAATATATTGCTTTTATTAATATGTCAGGCATGTGCGGCTAGAGATAGATATCTCTAGTCTGTATTTTACTGTGCTTTGTTGCGGCATACACCTCTAATCAGAGTATATTTAAAAGCGAGGAGGGCATTATATTAAAACCTGTTCTCGTCTTTTTGCAGCTCTGGGAAAAGGTTTTGTGGGAGGTAGCAGGAACACCTCAGAATCAAACACTGCTTAACCCAGCCAGTGAGGCAGGATATCTATGAAAGAGTGTGCTAGAAAGCAGCATTCTTGGCCGCCTACACTGGGCATGAGTGTTTGGTCCAAGATAACTACCATGTCATGGACCAAGATCCTTTAATTCTGTTTAATTCAACCAAATCTTTATTTTGTGCTAATCTGGCAACCCAGTGACTATATTAGTCTCTCTGGGGACATTAAAAATATGTAAGACATGGTTCATAACCTCAAGGAGTTAAGAATATAATTGAAGAAGCTTATAGCCAAATTGACTTTATTATAAACTGGGATGATGTTACAGATTGCTGTAAGATACATCCTTTTTTTAATTTTCTTGAGCATATTAACTTGGGCAATCAAGAAATAGTCATACCTTGTAGGAAAATTAGGATGTACACAGAAAATGGAGACACAGGCTTTTAATTGTGCCCCAAGCATACAGCCTCCTTTTCCTCTGTTCTTCTGCAGAGAACGTGGAGAGACCTCCAGGATTAGATATGTAATGTGTGGCCGCTCTTCAGTAACCACTATTGAACTTCAAAATGAGTTTAGTCATTAGCTTTGACAAATGAGGAGCCTGTTATTGATTTTTACACATGTCTATCATGGGATCTATTTAAAAAGAACAGTCAATTCCAAGAAAGATTATGTTAATCTTATTGGTTTGATTTCCTAAAGGGAGGAGGCAGAACAGGCAATAAAAGGAGAGCCCCAGAAAGTGGCCATCTCTGTATCATTTTCTTAAATCAATTTGAAAAACAATTTGGAAAAAATCAAGTGTCTTTCCTTAGAAAGCTAAGAATCTATGGATAAATCATTCCAGACACTGTTAACCAACAGCTTGCGAAGTTCACGAGAAAGGACATTGACAGGAGGCATACAATTACTAATTTATTTGTCTTTTTATGGTTCAGTTAAGAGTATCTCAGGTAGCAGAGCACATGGCAGCTCGTCAAACTTCGTAGGGTTTACCTGTCAGAGTTTTGACTCATGTAGAAGCGCTACGCGCTCACGTTTGCCCTCCCTTTCAGGAGTGTGCACACAGGTAAGACAGCTTGGTGGTAATTTTTATTTAATGCTCCCAGGGTCTGTGGCTGTACTCTTAGTGAAAGTTCTGACAATAAAATTCCACTCCCTGAAATTTCCAAGGTTTCTGCTGCAAGCACTTCTCTGCTTAAGAAGATCTTCCTCTGGGATCAGACAATTCTTTAGGGTCTGTTCTGATGCTTACTGATCCTGGAGACAGCTGTTTAGTATGTTGGAGACTGCTTTATTGTTTTGTTTTTTGTGAGCTCCACTGGAAAGGCATCTAAAAGAAAAATAAAATACAAGGAATTAACAGTGCAAAGGCAGAGCAGGGCTCCAGGGAGGCCTACATAATTCTGAACTGGCAAATAGCAAGTTGTACCCACTTTGACAGTTTTCAACCCTCTCCATGCCTCTGTCTAATCCACTCTTCACTCTAATCTAATCCTCACTCTAATTCAATCCACTCATTAAGTGAAACTACTCATTCCATAATACTCTTGAATCTCAATTCTAGAATTTCACCTTATTTTTCTAAAAATTGAGTCTTCCAGTTTAAAATTGCTTTCAGATACATTTGAGTCTTGGATTGGCTATTGTTTGATCAGAAGCCTTTTAATTATACTGGAATTATAAACCTGTTTTCACAGCACCTGAAGGTATTTGGATGGGCATTGGATGCCAGTAAAATATAATATGGCCTCTAAATGTCTCAACACAAGGCTGTCTTCTAGAAAAGCTCATCTACTAACCACATCCATCCATACAAGATGTTATCAATGAGATACTCAGAGACTAGTCATCTTATTTCAAAGGTCATGAACAAAACTACCACAATTTGATCCCCAAGGGAAACTCAAAACTTTATTCTCACAGAAAGTCTGAAGTGCTGTGACGGAAGACTCGATTTGAATCTTTCAGTTAATGATGTTATATCCTTATATTGAAAAACTTGTATGGGTCCAACATTTTGGAATTCTACCCCTAACAGCGTGAGGAATCATTTCATGAAGGAATTTTTTTCATAATATAAAAATACAGGAAGAATATAATCTCAGAATAAAGTCTAATCCTTTAAATTGCACAAGTTTTATGAAAAAACTTACATCATTGATTTTTCTGCAGGCGGAAAAAAAAAAAAAAAACAACAAAACCTCAGGGTCTTTCAAACAGCAAAATGCACACCTTACTCAAGTCATATGTAATTGATTTGTGCGTGTGTCTTTTGGAGAGTTTAGCACATCTTGCATAAATGTGGGTAGCATGCAAAAAGTAAGAGAACAGGGCCTCCCTGGTGGCACAGCGGGTTGAGCTCCGCACTGTGAAGCTGTCCGCAGCCTTTGCAGAGTGGGTTCAATCCTGGCCGGCCAGGGGGAAACCCACATGGTGCGGTAGACCTCTCCTGTCTTACCCGCTGTTCCCCTCAGCAGTGTATTTCAGTCGGCCTGTTCTGTTCCCCGCTCTGTCTCTGGTGAATCCTCTCACCCTCCCACACATCTGGCCTGTGCTCCAGTTCTTGTATTAATAAAATAAATCTTAAAAAAAAAAAGAGAGCAGGGCAAACTACACACTGAAACTTTATGTTTCTTCATGAAAGTTAGATATCATCTCCATTCCTATTGTAGTTTCCACAGCAAATCTTGCAGGTCATTCCAGGCTTAACAGGCTTCAAATGTATAATGTTCTTGTATAGGCTGACTCTGGATACTAGTGGATATTTTCTAGTTCACACTTTCATTTTAGAAAAAAGAAAAAACCCTGTGATCTTTATTTTATTTTATTTTATTTTAGTACTTGTATGCTAAGTGCCTAACTCTCATTCTATCCAGAGGATTAAATCCAAGTGTGTGGACACATGTTCTTCTCCACCCCAAGACCCGCTCATCAGTACTCCAATGTTAAAATTGGTACAAAGATGAAGATCACATAAGGAAGTCAAAGTTCTAGTCTCCCTCTATCCTTTTTTGTTTCAGTCGAATTCCCCAGGGTAATTATGACAGGTGTTTTCGTCCTGATTTTGGATGGCGGATAAGTGACTTATCTAAGAACCTATGGTAAATGGTACAGCAGAAGCTCAAATTGAGACTCCTGCCTTCATGCCAGACACCTATTGAGTTGGTAGCCGTGGTCATGCAGCCTTTGTTCTATCAGGGCCTGCATGCAAAGTGGTCCTTCGACATCCACTGCTCAGCATCTGTTGCAGGTTCAGTTAGCTTCAACCTTTTGCCTTGTGAGCATCTCTTCACATTCAGAATCCACTTGAATAGGACCTCCAGCCTTGTTTTCTCCAAATTTGCTGAATCAGTCTTTTGCCCAGATACCTCTCTCCTGACTGCCTTGCCATGTAACAGGACATGCCACAAATGGGGAAATACTAGAGCTGATATCAAACTTAGAGACAGAACACGTCTCTCTTATGGTGTGAGCTTGTGATTTCAAGATAGGTGAAGGCTTTCAGGAGCTGCTAAAAAAAGAAAGGCCCTACAAAAATCTGATTTTATAGTTCTTGTGTGTGTGTGGAGGTGTTCCCTGGTGGTGCAGGGGTTAAGGTCTCATGATAGAAAGCTATTGCCAGCCACTGCCCCTTGAGTTCAATCCCTGCCACAGAGCTAACCCACATGGTACAGCAGACCACTCCTGTCTTGCCCGCTGCTCCCCTCAGCAGTGGCTTTCAGTAGATCTGCCTATTCTGGTCCCCACTCTGTCCCTGGTGAATCCTCTCACCCCCCCCCACACACACACACACATACACACCTCTGGTCTACACCCCAGTCTATATGCATAAATAAAAATAAATCTTTTAAATATAAAATTTTTGTGGGATTTATTTTCTAAAACTGGGGTCTTGAAAGATTATCTTTCATAATTGTTTTCATAATTCTTTGCTTTTGTGATCATACAAGCTTTGTTTCTATCCTATATTAATAGATACTTGATTTGTTTTATTGGCTGGTGAACACTGAGACTCATCTCAATTTTGCAGCAAAGCATAAACGAGCTATAGGATATTTGCAAATCTCAACTGAAAGGAATCCTTCCATACTTTCTAAATTTCCATTGTTATTCAGTGACACCTATATGCTACCAAAAGGTTGTCCCTTCTGTCAGCCTATCAAATTCTTCCCGAGATTCTGTCTCTGGGTAAAAGGAGTTTTTTGAATCTTCAGAGAGAATGTTGCTTGACTTCTCCCTCCTCGCCCCCCAAAAGCATACAAAGTTCAGATAGCTACATTAGGAACAGGGCTTTCCCACCCCATTGTATCTACAGAAAAATAACACATTTCTTAGAAAACCATTTTACCCTGATAGGAATGTGGTTGTTTTAGGTCTTGAAAAATTATTCCTTACTCTGTGGTTTTTTGTGAAGTCCAGATGTTTTCAAGATGGTGTTATGTGAAAAAGCTATATATTTAGGAAGATTTGACCTCTTAGACATTCCCTGGAGGTAAATCGTTTAACACTTTGAAGTTCAAATGTGAGTATAGACATTTGTATAACAAGATTTTGCAATGTCCTCAAAATTAAAATAGATTTCAATTTACCTGTGTTTTCACTGGGATATTAAAATAACTATAAATTTCACTAAACATACAATTAAGTAATGTGATAATCAAAATGTTAACTTACTAAAATCGAAAGACATGTCAAAGTTCAGCTTTAAGAAGACTGAGAAGTCTTGTCAATATTTAAGGAAAACAGAAAATTGGCCTGAAAATTAATATTTTTTATCTGTAGAAGGATGTGGCAGTACCTCTCATTGATATGAAGATCAAGTACATTAGTACTTAAGACAATGGGACAGTGGTAATTCTGCTGACATTGGTATAGAAACTCTTACAGATTAATATTCAGCTCTTCACTTTTTGCCATCTGGCCAACATATCCAATGACCTTTTCTCAGTTATTAAACTTGACTTTTTTAGAATGTTTGACACTGTTACCATCTATTTCTTCTTGAATATTCCTCCTGTATAAACTTCTATGAAATTGGACTGACCTTTTGCTCTCACAATACCTATCCCTCCTTATTTTCTCTGCAGATTTCTCTTCCTTACCCATATACTATGTACATGATGAATCTTGAATGTCCCCATTTTCTTTCTACAACGCCTTCTTATGCTAATTTATTCTATACAGGTAATTACCTTCCAAACTACAGTCCCAAATTTGTTCTTGCCTGTTGGACATTCAATTGTAAAAGATGTCTTGAAACTTAACATTTCAAACAACAAGCATTTGTCATTTCTCCTACTACCAAAAACAATAGCTCCCACAGATTTTCATCTCTTTAGGTTTGAAATCTTAGTTATTCTTCAATTATACAACCCTCTTCTAATGACAGTGTTGTTACTAAATTGTTACATCAGTATTCTGACTCTAAACTACCACTTGAATTCCTTTTCTTTCCACTTTTTTCTGCAAATTCAGTTTTTCTCTAATCTTGGACTATGGAATAAGAACCTAAAGGATCTCTTGACCTCTAGTTTTCCCTTTGCCAATCCATCATGCTATTTCTGGTACAACTTCAAGACAAATCTCTATTTTTGAAATTCATGACAATTACACGTTACTGTTAATTCAGTTGCATATGAAAATATTCGTGCAACCACTTTTTTAAAAAACATTCACATCCTGTTAAGTTGGAAAACATATTCTAACTCAGCCATTCTGCTTTTTTTAAATTATTTTAATTTCAATTTTCAAAAATTCCTCCAGGAATTATATTTGCTTTAAAATCTCTAATGAACTATATTCTATTTGGTATGATTTTTGGCTTGATGTCCCTACTTTCCCCCTGCTTCTTCATAAACAGGAAGAGGAAGGGGCGTATAATATGCATTATACTCCATATGATCCAGCACAGGTATTCAAATAGTGAACTATTTGTGTCTACACAACTATTTATAATAGTATGAATAAAACCATATTGTCTCCCTTTTAAATCAGGTTCTTTTTTTTTCTCTGTGGTTTTTGCTCTGACATTGAAAGTCACTAATTATTTATATTTCTGCTTGTCAGCAGACATTATGACTGTTATTTGACCTGTTCTCTATCAACCAACTTTTATTTTGCTTTAAAATACTCCACTTTCTTCAATATAGTTTTGTTTTTGTGTAGAAATATATGAATATACATACATATTCATATGCACACACTTGAATGAACATATGTATCTCTATATACACTTAAGTTAGGACTGCTAGGATTTCTTCAGATGACACATTTCTTTGAATCTATGGCAATTTTTTTGTCATAGATTTTTGTGTTTAACTTTTGTCCTTA